GCTTTGAATATGCACGAATTCGCAGAATATGGTTCCTATGAGCCCCTCTTGGGGAAACTACTAGGAGGTGAGCTTCGGTCAACCAAGAGATCAAGGGAACTCTGAGCAAATGGGCTGGGGATGAGTGCCGGATACAGCAGACTTCAGAACCAAGTCTCCAACGACTGTGGCCATTACAATGAGAAGAGAATGTAGAGGTTACCCAGCAACGTAGAAATGACACTCCGGCCAAAACTGGGGTTGAGAGAAGGCAGGACAGAGGATATGTTCATTGACTGCCTCATCTGGATTACCCCCCTAACCTGGGAGTTCAAAGCGTATCATTTAAAATTGGCAAATCATGCACCCGAAGTGTACGCAAGTGTCTTTACCAGTACAAAAATCAACCTTAAGGAGCTCCTGGCTGACTCAGGTGGTGGAGCATGCGACTGTTGACCTCGGGGTCATGAGTTTGCACCCCATGTTGGGTGTAGAGACAACTAAAAAAACAAAACCAAATAGACAAAAGAAACTTAAAACGTTAAGACAGGATTACTGACTGAGACTGGGGGTGGGGAGGAGAGGGACTATCTTTGTCAGATGTTCAAACATGCTACAAGATCTCAAGAATGAAAACATTAACAGACAGCAGACTAGGGAAACCACACACACACTCTAGAAACAGACTCAGTAGACATGTGAATTCGGAACTGAACACAGGTGGCACATGGATAAACAGATGAGCGGAACAGAAACAAGAATCTAACGATGCTAGGACTTGAACGTCTGACAAGGGCAGCCTCTCAAATCCAGAGAGAAAAGGCTCAGCCTTCAATTGACATTCAATAAATGATGCCGGACCGACTGGCGAGGCCAAATGGAAAAAATCTGAGGTTGAATCCTATACTGGGAAAAATCCCAAAGTGATCAAAGATTCAAATGTAAACAAAAACAGTATCCAACATTAGACAAAAATATAAGAATTCTCTTATAATCGGAAAGCCTTTCAATGTGATAATTTGTGTTGACTATCTTCTACCACCTCACTGCAGAGAAGAATCCAGACCCAATGACCCCCCCTGCCCCAAAACCGGCTTAAGGAGCAGCCGTACCCTCCTTTACCAAAGAGGCAAGACTACGTTGAGCTCCATGCTCAGCATAGAGTCTGCTTGAGATCCTCTCTCCCTCTGTCCCTCCTGCTCTTTCTCTCTCTCTCTCTCAAATAAGTAAATCTTAAAAAAAAAAAAAAAAATGCATCCCTGATATAGATTTAAAAGAGTATATGATTCTTGGGGTGCCTGGATGGCTCAGTTGGTTGGATGTCTGACTCTTGGCTTTGGCTCAGGTCATGATCTCAGGGTCTTGGGATCAAGCCCCACTTGGGCTCCACACTCAGTGTGGAGTCTGCTTGAGATTCTGGCTCTCCCTCTGACCCTCCCGACTCTTGATGTGCTCTCTCTCTCAAAATAAATGAATAAATCTTAAAATATACATACAGGATTCTCCCCTTGTGCACTGCTGGTAGGAATGCAAAATGGTGCAGCCACTGTGGATAACAGTATGGTGGCTCCTCAAAAAATTAAACATAGAATTACCGTATGATCTAATAACTCCACATCTGGGTCTACATCCAAAAGAACTGAAAGCAGGGACTCAAACAGTATTTGTACATCCATGTTCCTGCATTACTTGTAATAACCAAATGTTGAAAACCCAAAGGTCTATCAACGAATGACTGGAATATTATTCAGCCTTAAAAAGGAATGAAATTCTGACCTATGCTTCAACGTGGAGGAACCTTGAGGACATTATGCTAAGTGAAAGAATAAGCCAGCCACAAAAGGATAAATATTGTACGATTCCTCTATATGAGGTACCAAGAGTAGTCAAATTTATCACAGTGATAGGAATTAGAATGGTGGGTGCCAGGGGCTATGGGGAAGGGAGGGAGGAGTGCGGAGCTGTTTACTGGGCACAGAGTTTTAGTTTGAGGAAAGAAAACAGTGCTGAAGATGGATGGTGGTGATGGTTGTACAACAGTCCGAATATATTTAATGTCCATGAACTGTACACATAAAAATGATTAAAATGAAAAAAATGGTTAAAATGGTAAGTTTTATGTTATGTAAATCTTATCACACTCAAAAGAGAATATATGGCTCATAATTGTAGGTACTCTATCAAATTTAAAACAGGTGACACTACCTACTAATTCTGAAATTAGTTTTAGAAGATTTAATAAATGCTCAGAAAGGCAGAGAATTCTCAGAAACATTCTTATTAAATTTCTGATGGGCCAGTAGGCAAAAGAATTAATGAGTACTTCCCTGATCAATCATTAAGCTGGAACATATGGTTTCATAAAGTTATAATTTACTTTTCTTCATTTCTAAATTGTCCGTTCATATCTTTTATTTTTCATTCCACTGCACTGACTTTTCTTAGGGATTACAGAAGCTCTTACAGATCAAGTTTTTTTTGTTGTTTTGTTGTTTTGTTGTTTAAGATTTACTTATTTAGGGGCACCTGGGTGGCTCAGTCAGTTAAGCGTCTGCCTTCGGCTCGGGTCATGATCCCAGCGTCCTGGGAATGAGCCCCACATCGGGCTCCCTGCTCAGCAGGGAGTCGGCTTCTCACTCTCACTCTCCCTTTATGCTCAACCTCACTCTCTCAAATAAATAAATAAAATCTTAAAAAAAAAAAAAAAAAACAAGGGGCGCCTGGGTGGCTCAGTCGTTAAGCGTCTGCCTTTGGCTCAGGTCATGATCCCAGGGTCCTGGGATCGAGCCCCGCATCGGGCTCCCTGCTCAGCAGGGAGTCTGCTTCTCCCGCTCCCACCTGCCCTGCTTGTGCTCCCTCTCTCTGTGTGTCTCTCTCTGTCAAATAAATAAATAAAATCTTAAAAAAAAAAAAAAGATTTACTTATTTTAGAGAGAGAGCGTGCAAGTGGGGGGGGGGGGCGGGGGGGGGAGGGGAAGCAGACTCCCAGGTGAGCAGGGAGCCTGACACCAGGTACTCCATCCCAGGACCTAGAGATCAGGACCTGAGCCGAAGCCAAGAGCCAGGCGCTTCACCGGCTGAGCCACCCAGGCGCCCCCAGATCAAGGGTTTGTGACTCTTATCTGCTGTACCGCAGACTTTGTTGCAAATATTCCCTTCCGGTTGGTGTACTGTCTTTTAACTTTGTTCATGGGACCTTTTTTATACAAAGGACTTTTCTGTTTTCCTGAATCCAAGCCAGCTTTGAAGATTGCTGTCTTGCTTAAGAAGTCCTTCACCACAAGATTATAAAAATATTCTCCTACATGTTATTCCAGGTCTTTTAGAGTCGAGATCTATAATCCATCTGAAATTTATTTTTGTGTCACTTGTGAGGCAGAGATCTATTTCTGTGTAAGTTAAGAAGTAAGGATCGAGGGGCGCCTGGGTGGCTCAGTTGGTTAAGCGACTGCCTTCGGCTCAGGTCATGATCCCGGAGCCCTGGGATCGAGTCCCGCATCGGGCTCCCTGCTCGGCAGGGAGTCTGCTTCTCCCTCTGACCCTCCCCCCTCTCATGTGCTCTCTTTCTCTCTGTCAAATAAATAAATAAAATCTTAAAAAAAAAAAAAGTAAGGATCGAATGTTAGTTTTTTCAAAATGGTGAGACCACTGTCCAAACGCCATTCACTGAACCAGTTGTTGGACTGCCTTAGGCCCTCTTCCTTCCTCTTTGGTTAGTAAGCAGAAGCCACAGTCGAGGCTGAGGCTAAAGGAGCGGTTGGATTTTCCCCTCCCGGACACAGGCTCTAGACACACCCCCACTGCCCGGCCAGACACCTCCTCTTCCTCTCACACTGGAAAGCCTATCACGATGAGTGTGAGGAAAATTGGTATCAGTCGGGGGACAAACCTGAATTTGCTGTAATTGTTGTAGAAAAATGAACTAAACAGCCACACGCGTTGGCGCTTCAGTATGGATTAGGCTCCAAATTCTGGGACGCCCACCGGGTTGTGACACACCACTGGGTCTCAACGCCACGGCCAGAGCCGGGGGTCTAAAGCGCAGGCGTGATTCTCACCCGGCCTCCTCCCGAGCCGGGCTCTCCCCGTGGGAGGGCGGCCCCTGCAAGCCCGGCAGGAGCCTGCTGGAGCACCGGTCCCCCTGCACCCTGGCTGCCTAGGAGATTAACCACTGGTAACAACGGCAGGGAGCTCCGTTGTCAGTTTCAATGAATGACTGCCAGACATCTGACAGTTAGAACGTTTACATCCCTCTCAGGGCTCTGTATGGTCTACGCTACAAGTATTTCAGTGACTTAAAGGTGACTTTTGTTTTGAAACTGAGAATCGTAGCTTTAAAAAGACAAACACCTTTCCAGCCCTCCAGCGTTCTCCATTCCCTGTCTTGTTATGAAAAATGAAAGCGTTTGCTCGTCGTTGGCATGAAGGGAGCATTTTGCTGGGGCAGCAAACTCAGACTAGGTAACCTGTTGCCCGTGCTCACCCAGAGCCAGGTGATGCTACAGAGGCCTAGAGAGGTCAGCTTGACTCTGGGGCTCAGATGGCGGACGAGAGCAGGTTTGAAGTGGACAATCTCCACTCCTCCCTAGACTAGAGCAGTGCTTCTCACTCTTCAAAGTGCAGACGGATCACCTGGAGGTTTTGTTGAATGCAGATTCTGCTTCACATGGGTTGGGGTGAGACTGAGTGTGCCTTTCTAACAAGCTCCAGGTGACACCAGGACCTGGTCCACGGACCACACTTTGAGTAACAAGGCTCTAAGCAGTGGTTTTGACACTTTGCTGCAGCTTAGGGCCACCTGGGAGCTTTCAAAACTTCCCTGCCTGAGGGGCGCCTGGGTGGCTCAGTTCGTTAGGCGACTGCCTTCGGCTCAGGTCATGATCCTGGAGTCCCAGGATTGAGTCCCGCATCGGGCTCCCTGCTTGGCAGGGAGTCTGCTTCTCCCTCTGACCCTCCTCCCTCTCATGCTCTCTGTCTCTCCTTCTCTCTCTCTCAAATAAATAAATAAAATCTTAAAAAAAAAAAAACAAAAAAACAAAACTTCCCTGCCTGGGCCATACCCCATGCCAATGAAATCAGAAAATCAGAATCCCTGGGAGTGGGACCCCAAGTGATTCTGATGTGTGGCCAAGCTTGAGAACCAGAGGTCTGGCACAGTGGCTCGCTTACTGGCGACTGAATGAGGATCACTTGGAGGACTCGTTAAACCACAGGGTACTGGGCCCCACCCCCAAAGTTTCTGGTTCAGTAGGTCTGGGGTGGGGCCCAGGAAGTTCATTTCTAACACATTTGCAGATGATGCTGATGCTGCGGGCGCAGGGACCACACTGCGCTGATGGTCAGAGGATTTACATGTCAGGATTCATCCATTTTGAGCCCCCAAATTTCCCTTTTGCTCCCCTCTGACATCAGCAGTTTCTTTTTTGGGTGGTGGAGCTTCTGTGAGTTAAAATCTGTGTCGGGAGAGGAGCATTTCCCCTTTACCCTGATATTCCATCGACACTGGTGTGGGGGTGCTGGGGAAGGCCACCGTGGCATGAGTCCACTGGTCAGCAGGCTCTAGGGCTATCTTCTGGCTCACCTCTTACAGAAAGGTGCGTGAACCCTGGTAGAGCGGTCAGCCAACAGTCCGGGCTCAAGCTGCCTCCAACTCTGCAGTGACTATAGTTTCTGAACAAAAAACTGGGCCATACAATTTGAGAAATGATTTCTGGCCCCAGGCCCCTTACAGACAGTCTGAGAGGTATGGCTTGGCCACCCACTATTGAACTCTGAGACATTCTGATGATTTGCAAGGACAAGTATTTCATATTCAGGACTACCCTGGACAGTCTGGGTTGTCATAAACCAAATCATGAGAAAAAGAGAAGAAAAGGAAGTGTTCTGGGTTTCATGTTGGGACTTTCTAACCAGTCATAGAGAGAACCGCGCTTTTCATAAATGGTCTTTCAGCGGGTCTGTGACACGCAGGCTGAAAGCACAGCTGTCAGGCAAACCAGGGGCCAATCTCATTTCAGCGGAAGATCCTCATCACTGGGGAGATGAGCCCCAGAGGACCAGCGACACCCTCCTGAGGCTTGCAATTCTGGCCATTCACCGGTTCATTTTCTCCATCCTATATTCATTGATGTTCACATCCATGGCCAGCGCCCCGGCACAAAAGACTTTAAGGCAAGTGTCCTCCCTGGGGGTGTGGATTCACTGTACCTGAGGTTTCCAAAGTCAAAGCTCGTCCCATGCAAATAAATGCTATAGGTCTCCCGCACGATTCCTGCACTTTGGATGGATAATGTCAGGTCAAAAAGGCCACCTTCTAGTTTATACTCAGGCCGGACAGGGAGGATGTCCTTGAGCCTTTGGGATTTGAGAAATGGGAATAGCACAAACCTCCATCCTCAGAAACATGTTCTCTTTGTGTAAAAATATCTTTGGGGCGCCGGGCTGGTTCAGTCGGAAGACCATGTGACTGACTCTCGATCTCGGGGTTGTGAGTTCAAGCCCCGTGTTGTGGATAGAGATTACTAAAAAAATAAAATAAACTTAAAAATATCTTTATTAATAGCATAAACATGATGGTAGTCACTGGGTTTGCTGAACAAAGGATTCATATGGCGCCTCCAAGAACGAAAACGCCAGAGACTAAGAGTTAAGTGTTCTTACGCTGGACTGAGCTTCCCCGGGCTGCCTACTGGCCTGAGCACCCCTCCAGGTCTGCAGCCTCACCTCTCCCCTCTTTCCAGACTTGGGCATGTCCCGGCTATGTTCTGCCAAATGTGGCCTTGACCCCATTTTGTTTTAAGACAGAAGCTTAGCATGGTTTTCTCAAGGAAAAGCAGAGAAGCCTGGAATGAAGACGCTATCTGTCCACCTCCTTCATGGACCGGGCCAGCAAGGGAGCCTCTTAACACCTGCCGATGGGCAGGAAGGATTCATGTATTCGTGCCAGCAATACTTACTGAGTTCCCACTGTGTGGGGGGCACTGTGCGCAGTACTGTGAGAGAGGAAAAGAAAGGAAGGAAAGAGAAAAAAAAAGAGAAAGAAGAAAACAGGTTCCATGCCTTCTGGGATTTTAAAGGTTCCTAGAAGAAATAAGACAACTATTCATATAAGTAGAAAACAAAATGGACCCTAATCAAATGCTAAAGGACAAGGAGGATCCAAAAGCTCTGGGGCAGACGGCTTCTGGAGGAGGGAATCAGAGGTGCTCCCAGGTGGCCGCAACTGGGGACAGGGGAAGACGGATCAGAAGTAAGGACAGCTGGGGCGCCTGGGTGGCTCAGTTGGTTAAGCGGCTGCCTTCGGCTCAGGTCATGATCCTGGAGTCCCGGGATCGAGTCCCACATCGGGCTCCCGGCTCGGCGGGGAGCCTGCTTCTCCCTCTGACCCTCTCCCCTCTCATGCTGTTTCTCTCTCTCTCTCTCAAATAAGTAAATAAAAAAAAAAAAAAAAAAAAAAGAAGTAAGGACGGCTGTCTGGAGTGGGTCTCCAAGGGTGTACACTCAAAGGATACCCGGGATTTTATCAGACAGGGATGGGACAAAGCCATTCCAACTCAAAATTCAGGAGCACAGACTCATGCTAGAAAGCACAGGCTTCATTCAAGGCACAGCAAGATCTGGTCTGAAAGGAGCGGGGGCGATGGCGGGAGGACCACGGCAGCTGTGGGGCAGCTCTGGCCTGACATCACACAAGGCCCCGGTTCGGAGCAGAATAAGGAGCTCATGCTTGATTTGGAGATGCTGGGGAACTCACGAAGCTTTCTAAGCAGGAGGGCACCTGAGCGCTCAGGCAGGAGCGGAGCAGGGGCCCTGGAGGGAGAAGAGGCTGGGCCACTGTGAGAGTTCTGGGCAGAAACAGCAAGAGCCTGAACGCAGACCGCGCGTGGGGATGAAAACGTCCTTGGTACACACTCACAGGGAGAGATGAGCTTTACCACTTAAACCAGTAGCACAGGTCCCATCTTCATGGGAATTATAAGAACCTTTAAATGTGAGTACCCAGAGGTGCCTGCTAGTCAAATATTAAATAACCACTGTCCAAACAGGGATTGAAGTATCCGGTGCTGGGTAAGTGTGTCCATAGGTCCCGAGCTGGATGAACAAAAAAGAGGTCAAGCGGTTTACGTTGAACAAATGTTTGAGGGGATGAAAATAAGTGCACAGGTTCCTCTGAGTAATCACGGGGAAGGTCAGCAGACTTTGTTAAGCAAAGCCGATCTCAAGGGTAGAAGTCAGAGGACTGACGAACCCATCGTAGACGTTCTGGGAGTAATAAAAGGCACAAAGCCCCCACAGCCAGCCGGATGGGGAGGGCTGTCACGGTGGGTGCCTGTCTCCACCTCAGAGGCACCTGCTCAGACCTGACCCTCCGCTTCGAGACTTCCCCAACGAAACAACAACCCCAGGGGCGCCTGGGTGGCTCAGTCAGTTAAGTGTCTGACTCTTGGTTTCAGCTCAGGTCATGATCTCAGGGTCGTGGAATCGAGCCCCATGTCGGGCTCCATGCTCAGTGGGGAGTCTGCTGGAGATTCTTTCTCTCTACCTCTCCCCTGACTCATGCTTGCTCTCCCTCTCTCGGAAATAAATCTTAAAAAGAAATAAAAATAAACAACAACCCCAGAGGTCACTCCTCAGCCCTCAACCCCTCTGGCCTCTCCACAGTATCTTGACTAAGATCCTAAAGTTCATTACAAACTTGTCACATTCATCAGGAGGCAAGTAAATTAAGTTTTTAGGACAGGATGAGAGATTTTTGTTTTCTTTTCAATAGGAAGAGTAAAGTTGAAAGTTATTTTTCAGGGCCAGAGAAAACTGGGTACTTTGCTTCAAATAAAACCTACCAAACACATGTGGAAGCAAACAGACCGGAGTTTGAGCCCCGGCTCCGCCACTTACCATCTAGTGTGTGACCTTGAGGAAGGGCGTGACCTTGCTGAATTTCCATTTCCTCATCTGTAAAATGACAGTCCCACCCACCTCCCAGGACTGCTAGTGAGCCGGACATGTGAGGAGCCCAGGGCAGGGCTGGGCTCACAGGAGGCCCTCAACGTCACACACAGCTTGACTCCTCTACCTCCCAAGTCCCTGAGCTTGGTCATAGCCTCTGCTCCCAAACCACCTCCTTTCCTCTCTTCCTCTTCCCAGGCTTCTGAATCCTCCAGACTGGATGCCTCTTGAGTTGGCCACCTTTGTCTTAGTCCTCGCCTGCAACACCCCACTGGGAACTATCGCTTTGCACCACGGATGTGATACAATGCTTAAGGACATGGGCCATGTCCTCAGACCCATGGGTTTAAATCCTGGTTCCGCCTCATACTAGCTGGGTGACCTTCAGGGAGTCACTTAACTTCTCTGGTGATAATAACGTCACTGATCTCCCAAGACAGTGAAGTGTCCGTCAGTTTTGCCCAGCGAATGCTAGGCACGAGGCCTGGACCAGAAAGGGATCTGCGAACGCTAGCTAGTGTTACTATCGGTTCTTCTTACCTGTGCCCAGTGTCCTCCCCTTCTCTGCTGACCCCTCCTTGGCCGGACCACTATGCCGGCAGCCTGATGTCTAGGCGGCTTCCTGGCTGCACTCCGGCCGCTGGCCTCTCCCTACTCGAATCTGACCTACATCCTGTTGCCAAATTCCACTTCCTCCCATGCCCCTTGGGCTCTAGTTCAAGACCCTGCCAAGGCCAGCGACATTCAGTCCAAGCCCCCCCCACCCATCCCCCAAACTCCACATCCTACCACTTCCTAAAAACACACTCTCTACTCCAACCAGCCAGCCTCCCTTACTGTGACCTGAACCAGTGAGCTTCGTGCCACGCCTCACTTTCTTCGCAGCTGCCAAACCCTCCCCGCTGCCCTGCACTTTTGCAAACTCCACTCCAGCCTACAGCTTCCGGCTTAAGCTCCGCACCGTCTCTGACCTCTCCAGTCCTCTCCCCTCCTTTCTCTGAACCTTGGCAGCTCTCATCAGTGCCAAGGCAGTCATCGTCCATGGGTCCTGAAGCGGCCCCAGGGACACGGGCAGATGTGAAGGAAACATCTGGTAATCAAGGGAGCCCAGTCTGCAACTGAAGACCAGAATGGAGACGGAGTAGTTAAGTGGCATGCCTGGATCCCAGAATGTATCAGTAACATGGGAGACAAAGATGGTAACCGTGGCAAAGAGCTCAGGTTTGAAATGACTCTTTCAAGAGCTTAGGATGACTTTATACCATCGCAAGTTCCTAGTTATTAGCTGGTCTTGGTTTCATAAGAATAATCACTTTTTAAAAATAGGATTATCTGGTTTTTCTAATTGCTAGACTTCAGATATTTGGATGTTTATTGCACAACCAAGGGAAGGTGCCAAGGGGCGGTTTATACTGTCTTCAGTCCCCCTCCCTATAACCTCCATCAGCTTCCCAACCACTCGGAATAAACACAGAAGTAAACACTGTGCTTATTATACAAATATAGCTCCAAGAATAGTCCTGTAAGCCTCTCCTATCCTGAGATTCTGGAACTACCATTGTACACAGGGCATTAAAAAGGGTGAGCATGGGGCGCCTGGGTGGCTCAGTCGTTAGGCGTCTGCCTTCGGCTCAGGTCATTATCTCAGGGTCCTGGGATCGAGCCCCGGGTCGGGCTCCCTGCTTGGCTGGGGGGCCTGCTTCTCCCTCTCCCACTCCCCCCTGCTTGTGTTCCTGCTCTCACTATCTCTCTGTCAAATAAATAAATAAATAAAATCTTTAAAAATAAATTAATTAATTAATTAATAAAAAGGGTGAGCATGTCCTGGTTGCCTGCAGCACCAGCAGGAGGACAGGCTGTCTCCACCTCCATCCTGGAAACCACCCTCCCCTCTTCCACAAACACCACACTCCTTCCTCCACAGTGGGGAATGCTCCCCACCCTCTCCCCACGAGGTCCAGCATCTTACCGCCGTCCCGAAGGGTCTGGGTTAAGTCCTCCACCAGGGCCACGGCCTCCTCGCTGCTTTCAGGACGATGCTCTTGCAGCCAGGCTTGAATTTCCCTTGGTAGCATGGTCAGCATCTGTTCCTTGGTGTGCACTTCCGGCCTCAGCCAGCGCCGACAGAGCTCTCGGAGGCGGCCAAGTGCACCCTGTGGCCCTCCAGCGGCCTCCCCGTGGGGGCTACCCTTGCCAGCACTCTGGGGAAAGGGCTCCGACTCGGGGCCATCCTCCTGCAGTACAGCTTCCTGCACCCAAGAGTCGTCCTCCAGGATCATGGTAGTGACCTCCTCCTGTTCGTCTTCCTCTTGAGGCACCTGGACCAAGGGGCTCAGGGGGGTGGTTACTCTCGGCAGCTCTGCAGCCATCATCCACCTTCCCGGGGCAATCGCCTCAGGCTTCTAGCCTTGAACCTCAGTCTTCTAGAGCCAGGCTCACGGAGAAGACACCTCCCTCCTCAAATTCCAACAAGTAGTCTGGCTGGGAAATGAGAAAGAGAACCACAATCAATAAGTAGACTGTCTTACAATGACCTAACTCACAGCAGCCCAGGTCAGGCCACCAAGTGAGTCTTACATCCGCAAATCAACACAAGTTTCCTGTCCCTCTTAAAGGAAAAATGGCTTACTCCTGAAAACCTCTCTCTGTGGCAAAAGAAGTTATGAAGAATCACAAGCACAAAAAAATACAGAACTTTTCTTTCCAAAAGAAGGAGTATCAGAAATTCAGAGTCCTCCTAAGAACCCAGGACTAAGTTACTCTGCCCTAAATCAGTTCAGACTTGCTGCATAGTGAGTGACCTTGACCTAACATACAACTCAGTCCCTTAACCTCAGTGCCCATCTAATAGGTAGAGATAATAACACCCATTCTTCTTATCTTATGGGGATATCTTCAGGATTAGCAATGGATCCAGATGTCAAAACATTTTGAGCCTCACTGGGAGGAAGGCAGTATCTTAACTGCATTCTTACCATATGAGTATGAAGTTTTAAAATATTCACACTTTTTTTTTTTAAGATTTTATTTATTTGAGAGAGAGAGAATGAGAGAGAGAGAGCACATGAGAGTGGGGAGGGTCAGAGGGAGAAGCAGACTCCCTGCCGAGCAGGGAGCCCCATGCGGGACTCGATCCAGGGACTCCAGGATCATGACCTGAGCTGAAGGCAGTCGCTTAACCAACTGAGCCACCCAGGCGCCCTAAAATATTCACACTTTTCAATGCAGCCTTGGCCCCCTTGGGGATTTATCTTTAAAAATAACCATCTTTCTGAAGAAAAATTTATTTGCAAGGAAACAAAACCATAGCATTGTTTCTAATTGCAAAAATACCCCGACATTTAAAAAATCCAGCAACAGAGAAATGGTTAATGAATTATGCCACATCCACACAGTAAAATGTATTTAAAACTATGCTGATTTAATAATGGCTACCTTTGGGGGCAGGGTACTGACTGAGAAGGGACTCAAAGAAGTCTTTGAGGTGCTGGAAATGTTCTGTATCTTGATTTGATGACGGCTGCATAAAGCATACATATGAAATTTAAGATCTGTGCGGGCTGCTGCATGTAGCTTTAAATATTTTTAAAAATTATGCTGACAACGATTATTAACCATTAATAATCTGAGATAATCTTCATAAACATGAAAATTACCGATAAAAACAAACCTAGCCAAAGAGAAACACCAGGCACAGTATGATCCCAAATCCGTTTAAAAATGAACACATACACAAGGAAAAACAAAACTTGGACGTTAATTCTACAAAATGTTGGGAGCAGTGAAATTACTATTTGTAAAATAAAGCCTATAAGAGCAACGAAAAACTGTGTTTTAAAAATCACTACCACATGACAAAGACTCAGATAACCCCCCCTTTTAAAAAGGGGGGGCAGGGGAAAAAAAAAAAGAAGAATTAGAAAGCAAAGCTAGTGGGAACACCGAAGCTCTCAATGTGTATTTAGCAAAGGGCTAGAAGGGGCACAGGTATAACCGAAGTCCTGCTTGCGAGCCCGGGAAAACTGCTTCCGGTCAGCTCCTTCGCTGTCTGACCGAGGGCAAGACACGCCCCCTCGGAAGCTCAGTTTCCCCATCTCCCAGTCCCAACCCCGCGCCCCTGGTTAGATGTGCAGGGAGCCCACCGCCCCGAAGCAGGGTCCGGGTGCGTTCGCCGAGCGGACCGGGCGCGTCAACCTGGGGGCCCCCGACCGCGGGCGCGGACAGCGCCCCCGGCGCCCCTCCCCCAGCAGGGCTGCCTGCACCGGCTCCAGGCCCGTTATTCCCTCGCCGCGGGCTACTCCCCGTCCCGCGCCGCTCCAGGCCCGTCTCTCCGGGCTCACCTCTGGGGAGACCAGGCCGGACGCCGGCAGCCACTCCGCGCGTAAAAGCGCCCCCGGGCACGGCCCGGCGCCTCCGGACTCACGGCGGCTCAAGCCCGAGGGGCACCGAGAACAATGGACGGGAGAGGCCCGCCCCCCACCGCGCTCATTGGCCACCGAGAACGCCCCCTGGAAACCCTGCTCTCCTACTGGCGAACCCGGCCCCCGGCCCGACGGCGGGGCGGGGAGGCCGGGCCGAGGGCATTGTGGGACATGTAGTCCACCGCGGCGGCCCGGCCCGCGGGCGGGGAGCGGAGCTAGGGGTTGAGAGCCCGGGCGCCGCGGCGCGGGCCGCAGGCAAACCCGCGGACTGGCCCTCAAGACCCCAGGGTTGGCCAGAGTTGGGACCCGGTACCGGTCCTTTCACTTCCCTGAGGCCTCCGTGGATTTGCCTAGGAAAAATGAAAGTTGTGAGGAGGGCCTTGAAGGTCCGTTTCAGCCGGGGACTGTGAGGCAAGGCATGATGTAGGCCCCCCCGAAAGGCGGTGCCCGAGCTGGGAGGAGCCCTCCCAGGAAACGTCCCCCCGCTGCCCGGGCCCGGCGCCCCTCCCCCGGCCTGCGGGTCCGCGCTCGCACCTGGCCTTGGCACACCCCTTTGTTTTCGCACGTGGCGTTCCTGCTGCGGGAGGCGGGCCCGGTCCCGCCTCTTCTGCCGCGGAAGAGCCCCCATGCTTTGGTCCCGCTGGTCTTGTCGGAGCCCGCCCCATCGTCCCCTCCCCGGGCGCGGACGCCGCTGCCGGCGCCCCTGTTCGCGTGTCCACGGCGGTCCCTGGTCCCGGTGTTGCTCCCCGCGGGCCTCAGCCCTGGGAGGTGCGAGCGGGAGCTCGGCCTCTGTCCTGCCCACAGTCGGTGCCCTCGAAGAAGTAGCTGCGCCAACACTGCAGGACACCAGGTGAGAACCGCCCGGAAACCCAAGGGGGAAATAGGAGGATGGAGGGAGACATGCTCTCGGTGGTCCGTGATAGAACAGTTGTGAATGCTTACGCAGAGCAATCATCGCAGGCGCACAAGCGAATGACTACAGTTGTTGTTTTATTTATATTATATTTAATATTCATGAAAATTTTGTGTTTGAGAAAGGTTTTCTGTTTATTTGGGTGATTTTCACCTCCTTTTCTGTGAACTGATTGTATCTTCCCATGCTTGTTTGTTTTCCTTTGATCCAGTATAGTTTACATACAGTATCATGTTTCAGGTGTACAATAATGAAGCAAATCCATACAACAGTGCTCATCAGGACAAGTGCACTCCTTAATCCCCATCTCCTGTTTCACCCCCCCCCCCCGTCCCCCCCTCCACCTCCCCTCTGGTAACCAGCTGCTTGTTCTCTCTAGTTAAGAGTCTGATTTTTGGTTTGTCTCTCTCTTTTTTTTCTTTGTCCGTTTGTTTCGTTTCTTAAATTCCACCTCTGAGTGAGATCATATGTATTTGTCTTTCTCTGGCTGACTTATTTCTCTTAGCATAATACTCTCTAACTCTATCCATGTTGTTGCAAATGGCAAGATGTCATTATTATACTTCTTCCCATGTTTTAATCCAATTTATTTGCAAGAGTTCTTAGTATATTAAGCAAACGATTTCTTTGTCACAGAAGTTGCTATTTCTCACTTTGCTGTTCTTTTTTGCTGTTTTTTTTTAGCATAGAAATTTTTAGGCTGTCCCATCTTGTCTTTTTATAGCTTCTGAATTTGGTGGCATTCTTAGAAAGTTCTCTCAGTTTCTAAGATTATCTCAGTTTCACCTGTTTTTCACTAATGAACCCCTTTAATCAGTCGAAGTGTAAAGATGCAAGGTGAGGTTCCTACCTCCCTGGCTGCATCTTAATGTCTTAGCCTAAATGCAAATAGCACCACCTCCAGGCCAGCTCAAGAAGTTTGCACTCCGTGCCTGGATGCCCAGCTCTCAGGCCAGCTCGAGAAGTTAGCACTCCGTGCCTGCATGCCGAGCTCTCAGTGCTCACTCCCCCGGTCAGCATTCCTGGAGAACAAGAGATGCAAAATAGTTGAGGATGATAATTCTTGGGATGCTCTCATATTACCAAGATCTGTTTTTCCACATTTCCATCCTCCCATTGTATACAAATGGGAAAAGTTGTGTTTGGATGTGGGAGTCTGGGCGGTTCACTGCTGAAACTTTCTAGCAGCCTAAGAGTGCATTTACCTCTCCTCCTATCCCAAGCCAACCCTTGACCACAAGAAACTGGTACTGTCTTGTCACAGGAGAATCCTGGAGCCAGTCATCTCTTCCCTGTGCCTGATTCTCCGGGAAGTTGGTCCTGCCCAGTGTCAAGTATCCCAGGTTTAGATAGAAAGCAACTCACATTCAGGGCACCTGGGTGGTGCAGTTGATTAAGCGTCCTTGGCTTTGGCTCAGGTGGTGATCTCAGGGTCGGGAGATTGAGCCCCACAGAGTCTGTTTAGCATTCTCTCTCCTTCTCCCTCTCCCCCCCACCCCCACATGTGTGCTCTCTCACATTCTCTTTCAAATAAGTAAATAAATCTTTATTTTTTTTCAAGATTTACTTATTTGAGAGACACCGTGCATGAGCACCAGCAGAGGGGAGGGGCAGAGGCAGAGGGAGAAGCAGACTCCCTGCTGAGCAGGAAGCCCAATGCAGGACTCAATCCCAGGACCCTAAGATCATGACCTGAGCTGAAGGCAGATGCTTAGCCAACTGAGCCACCTAGGCGCCCAGTAAATAAATCTTAAAAAAAAAAAGCGGGGGCGGGGAGAAAGCAACTCACATTTAAGACCAGTTTATGGCATAATGGGCCTGGTGCCCAAGCCAGCCTGGGACAGTGAGCAAGCCTACAAACACAGCCCAATTCAGTGAGTAGGATTGCTCCCCCCAGTGAATCTTTTCTCCATCAGCCAAACTCCAGGGGTGACAGAGGCTTTGTGCTACCAGTGGGCTTTCCTGGTAAAAGCTTCAGAGAACTGCTCTGGCTAAAAGGGACTTATTGAAAGAATATTAGGGAACTCACAGGGTAAATGGGAAAGAATCAGGCTTAATTCAGAACAGTTGGGAGCCAAGAAACAGAGGATAAGGCTCAGGCATTGGGGCAAAGGTGCCTTTGGGCCCTGAGGATGCAGGAAGTACCTCCCCCCCACCGAAGACCCCCCGCCATTGCTCAATCTACCCTATGTCCTCGCTGTCCGGGAAGGGCATCTCTTCGTTTGTATGAAGCATGTGTGTCTCATTTTTGCTAGTTATGCCACAGAAGCAGGACCACTAAACGGGATTGGGAAAAGATTATTATATGAACAGTGTTGGAGGATGCTATAAGACTGGCCTAAAAGGAAGAAAAATCTAAAGGGGGGCTCCTGGTAGGAATGCCAAGGGAGAAAGAGAAACTAGGGAAGGAGATCAGGGACGCATTTATTTTAAAGAGGGAGGAGTGAGGGGCGCCTGGGTGGCTCAGTCCTTAAGGCTCAGATCATGATCCCAGGGTCCTGGGATGGAGCCCCGCGTCTGGCTCCCTGCTCCACGGGAAGCCTGCTTCTCCCTCTCCCACTCCCCCTGCTTGTGTTCCCTCTCTCACTGTGTCTCTCTGATAAATAAATTAAAAATCTTAAAAAAAAAAGAGGGAGGAGTGAAATTCAGTCCAAGAAGTGTTGCTGAACAATTGTGAAGTTAAGTATCCCATGACGCATGCCCAAGTAAAACGAAGAGCTAGAGCGGGATTTTTTTTTTTTTAGAATGGAATTTTTCACCCCTCCCAACAAGGCCTGTATTTTCACTGTTTTCTTTTCTTTTCTTTTTTTTTTTTTTAATGAATGGCTTATAGTTAGTGTAACAGAGGTGTGAGGAGGGTTGTCTTTGGTCCTTGTCTTTCTCCTCCTGGGACCCTGGTTTTTCTCTTTCTCGGTTGTCCTGTGCTGGCCTGGGCTTCTCTAGCCCCTTTGTGCCAAGAAGGAAGAGAATAGCTTTACAGTCTCGGGCCAGTTCCCATGCCCTACTCGGAACTGCTCTAGTCAGGGATATTTCTTGGAAGACACGAGGGTGCTCTGGGCTGGACAGAATGGCTCAGGAGGCAGCTTCGTGTGGACTGGTGCTTGCCAAACACAGAGGCACCAGGGGTACCAGGAATGGCTGGAGGCAGAGTGTGTTTTGTTTTAAGATTTTATTTACTTATTTGACAGAGAGAGACACAGCGAGAGAGGGAACACAGCAGGGGGAGTGGGAGAAGCAGGCTCCCCACCAAGCAGGGAGCCCGATGCGGGGCTCGATCCCAGGACCCCTGGGACCATGACCCGAGCCGAAGGCAGATGCCTAACGACTGAGCCACCCAGGCGCCCCTAAAATGACATTTTATCTTATTTTTTTTATTTCTTTTTTAAGATTTTATTTATTTATTTGACAGAGACATAGTGAGAGCAGGAACACAAGCAGGGGGAGTGGGAGAGGGAGAAGCAGGCTCCCGTCCGAGCAGGGAGCCCAATGTGGGGCTCGATCCCAGGACCCCTGGGACTGTGACCCAAGCCGAAGGCAGATGCCTAACGACTGAGCCACCCAGGTGCTCCCACAGTGTGTTTTGAAGGGGATTTAGCTCTAGAATCATCCATGTCCCCCCAAGTTATTATGAGTGAAGACTGATGTTAAAGATAGGAAGGGAAAAAATGCAAATACGTGCATGCGCGCACACCCACACACTCCGTATACACACATACTGTATGTATATAGTTGACATTTGAACAACTTGGGGGCTAGAAGCACTGACATCGCCCCCCACCTCCACCCCAGCAGTTGAAAATCTACTCAGAACTTCTGACTCCCCAAAAACTTAGAGCCTCCTGTTGACCAGGGGTCTTACTGATAACAGAAACAGTCGATTAACATTTGATATACTATACATGTTATATACTGTATTCTTATAATAAAGTAAGTTAGAGAAAAGAAACATTATTAAGAAAATCATAAGGGAGAAAAGAAAACCATAAGAGGAAATACATTTACAGTACTGTATGGTATTTATCGAAAAAAAAAAAAAATCCACATATAGAGGCACCTGGCTGGCTCAGTTAGGAGAGCATGCGACTCGATCTCTGGGGCATGAGTTCAAGCCCCTACTGAGCGTAGGGCTTACTTTAAAAAAAAGAAAATTCCACATACAAGTGGACCTGCACAGTTCAAACCCGTATTGCTCAAGGGTCAGCTGTATATATAATCCCTAGGCTGCTTAGTTCATAGGAAGAAACATTATCATTAGAATAGTTAGTTGACCGTTGGAAAAAGAAAGAAGAAAACCTTGTGACCTGCAGTAGAAGCTTGCCAGGCCCGGGGCATGCACAAGAGGCTTCAGGACAGATTCCCTGCCCGGCTTGTCAAACCAGACTGCTGCAAAGCCACTCCCTTACCAATATCGAAGCCACTGATGGACACTGATGGGGCCACGTGGCCTGGGAGCTGGAAACATCCCCAGGGAAAGGTTCGGCCATAGGCTTTCCCCTAATGGCCGTTTACCATTCTCTCTCTCTCTCTCTGTCATACACATACATACACAGACACAAATTGAATTTTTTTTTTAAATTATACAACAAATGCACTCAGACCCAGGAAAAAAAAGAAATAAATTTGAACACACAAACTTAAAAATGCTTGTATAGCATAGAAGGCTAAAACTAAAGTCACATGACAAAGTAGGAGAAATATTTGTAACAAATGTGACAAAGGACAAATTGCTCATTTACTATGAGTTTATGCAGCTGAGCTTGAGAAAGACCTCAGTGGAAGAACGGGCAAAGGATAAGAATAAACAGGTCACAGAGCAAAAAAACTCGGGGGGCGCCTGGGTGGCTCAGTTGGTTAAGCGACTGCCTTTGGCTCAGGTCATGATCCTGGAGTCCTGGGATCGAGTCCCACATCGGGCTCCCTGCTCGGCAGGGAGTCTG